AAAAATACTGCATGCACTACTTTTGGTGCAGTGCGCTTTTAGCCCATTCAAAATGAATGGGCTGAAATCGCACCGCACAGATAGGGTTGCCACCTCATCCCTGTGTCATTAATATGTGTTTGGTTTTAAAGGGATGAGGTGGCAACCCTATGCATAGAGCTGCATGTGAATCACACAGGAACGCATGGCGGGTTTCCTGTGCGATTCATCTGTGGCCATGGTGTGAACCAGCCGTTAAACAAGAGAGCACTAATAGCTTCTGAGAATGGGCAGAGCATTCAAAAGGAAACTGTCTCTGGCTGACAACTAGAGCTGAGAATGGGAATATTTCCATTGTAGTCATCTCTAACCTAAATACTGCACTCCTGTTTTCTTGCACTCCAGTGAGCTGTGGGCCAGGTTGCACGACCCCATGAGCAGTAGGGTGGAGAATGACCTGGCCCTCATTGGAGCACTGGAAAGCAAGACTCAGAGGACACCCAAGATCATTTCTAGAGCCAATCTACCAGCAGTTGGGAAAGGAAACCCACATAAACACAAGAAGAGAGCATGCAAACTCCAGGCAGATAATATCTGAGATTCAAAAGCAATGACCCTGATGCTGCAAGGAAGAAATGTCAACCACTAAGCCCTTGTGCCACCCGTTTTCTGATATACCTATGCAGAATAATACAGTTAATTGCAGGTTCACTTTAAGGACTCTTGCATAGGGAGTGCCTAAAAATGCCACTTTTTCGGCTCTCAAGCAGTTTTTTTTTTACTGATCTAAATGCAAACCATTGTTTTTGTGTGTGCAAGAATTTGAAGTCCTCATACGCACTTGACGTTTTTACGGCTGCTGTTTTTGACATTTTTTTTCTACACCTAGTACACCCCCCAGCATGTTATCCTATGTGTCCATGCACACATAGGCTGTAATCAAAGTTTTTTGGCTGGAAAAAAAAAAAAAAATACCCAAGACTAATGGGTTTGTAGAGGAGTTTTTTTTAGCTATAAAAAAGCTTGAATGCTGAAAAAATGCAGCAAATCTGCATTTTTGGACTTTCTTTGGTAAAAAAAATATGCAAATGCGGGAAAACCACCACCAACCCTCACATTTTTAACATGACTTCACACAGCTAACATTACCAGCTTTCTCAAACCACCCAGTGTGCATGGAGCCGTATACTAAATGCCATGAGCTCCAGATAATGATCTCAAGCTGGGTAATTGGGAAGTGGTACAATGAGCAGAAAAGTCAGATGTATCCTATAATCACTGAATTAGCAGCTTTGTGCAGATCCATAACCAGCCATCAAGTCTACCTGGTAATCACCTGTGCAGTGGTAGGTGCTCTGACTGTTATAGAGCAGTCCTCCTTGATTTAGATTGCATCACAGAGGTGTACCTGTCAGAGAATTAGACTGTTTACCTAAAAGCTCAGGTTGTAGATGTTGTAATAGAGGAACTCACCAGGTGATGTCATAAGGGGTGGGAGTCCAGCTGACATCCAGCAAGGCAGATACTGATCACCTTGCTATGTGCAGATTGTGCAGGACATCAGAGGATCAGGTGGGTGATGAGGGTTCTTCCCATCTCCTGTACTATAGATCTCATTTACTTCTATTATGTCCATTGATAGTGTGTTGTACTATAACTATATGATGATTTTGTTCTCTTTCAGAATTATGGGGAAAGTTTTGTTCTGGTTTATCCTGGCTGGAGTTTGCTGTTCACTAGCTGTAAGTTTGTTTCACTTTTCATGTTCGTTTATGTTTTCATAGCAATGTATTGTGCAAAGGGATATTTTGTAATGACCAACTTTTAACCTTTACAGAGCAATCTGTGTCTGGTTATACTGGTGCATGTGTGTTATGCTTTGTGTAATGTGTGTGCTCTGGTGTGCACTGTTTGATGCATTGTTACCATGCGTGTCAATTTTTTTTTTTTTGTCATAAAACATTTCATTGAACTTTATGCACTGTGTTGCAGCTGGTGCTGTGTGAAAATGCCTCCAATCTAGCAAACCGCCTAGTCTTTGCGTTGGGACTGTGTAGGGGACTCTGTGTGAATGGACTGTAAATGTTCCACACTGTTTGGCCATTTAGCCTGCCCATCTCCCTTCCCCTTCCCCCTTTTTTTTTTTTTTTTTTTTTTTTTTTTTTTGTCTTTGTAGAGCATGAAAGGGTTAAACTGTTACTGTCAGTGTTCCACTGGGGAGATTTCCCTTTTTTATTCCTGCCTTGAAGGCACAACAGTAAATGAGAGGCAATCATACCAGAAGTAAGGTGAACTCCCCTCTGTCACAGGGACACATGTCCCAATTGGTCTTGTTTTGGTGAGCACTATAAAGAAAGTGGATTTCCGATTTCTTTCTATCTTGCTGATTAGTTGTCACCAATAACAATAAATGAATCTCTTCATCAGGTAACTATTAAAATCTGATTGGTTATAACCCTTCTCCACTCCATCCATATCTAAAAAAGGCAGGCAGGATAGTTCAGGTGCGTTTTGGAGATGCAGTATGTCCAAACAGACATGGTGTGCTGCCTTCTTTGTGACCCCCCCCCCCCCCATAGAAAAATTCTGGCAATATTGTTGTGCTTCCTGTGCCCCAAGACTTTTGCTGGTGTGCGGCTGTAGGTTTTGTAGTGCAACCCTCCCTTCTTCCCCTTTTTTGTAGCAAGTCCAATTGGTAATGCTGCATTGGCCAGATGAGCTTCCTCTCAGACCACCAGACATGCTGATATGTGGACCTGGCATCTGCTTATATTTCACATGCCCATGACCTGTAGGAGCAAAAAAGATCACACCTTTGGGCTAGTGAATATTTAATACAAAACATGTTCCAAGGCATTATGGGTGTTGATCACTTTTGGATCAATGGGGATTCGACTATATCTATAAAACTGTATGTCCACTGCTGATATTCTATGCATTTTATGTTCCGTTACTGTGTGTTCATAAATGTAAAGGTAATGCGGAGACCAGAAACTGTACTGGATTTATTTATTTACAAATTGCAGGTATGGCACTGTGCTGGAAACATGTTGTTTGCCCTGGGTTACTAAACATTGTTTATGTACATTTTTCTGTTTGTGTGTGTATATAATATATATATATAAATACATACACTAATTGTGTGTGTATATATAATCGTTGTGCTCAAAAGTTTGCATACTGTGGCAGAAATTGTGAAATTTTGGCATTGATATTGAAAATGATTGATCGTGCCAAAAAATACTTTTTATTGAAGGATGATGATCATATGAAGCCATTTATTAATTAGTTGTTTGGCTCCTTTTTAAATCATAATAACAGAAATCGCCAAAATGGCCCTGATCAAAAGTTTACATACCCTGGAATGTTTGACCTTGGTACAGACACACAAGGTGACACACACGGGTTAAAATGCCAATTAGAGGTTAATGTCCCACATCTGTGGCTTTTTAAATTGCAATTAGTGTCAGTGTATCAATAGTCAATGAGTTTGTTAGCTCTTACGTGGAAGCACTGACTAGGCTAGATACTGAGCCATGGGGATCAGAAAAGAACTGTTAAAAGTTCTGCGTACCAAGGTAATGGAACTTTATAAAGATGGAAAAGGACATAAAAAGATGTCCAAAGCCTTGAATATGCCACTCATTACTGTTAAATCACACTATTAAGAAGTGGAAAGTTCAGGGATCTCTTGATACCAAGCTAAGGTCAGGTAGACCAAGTCATAACTGACAGAAGAATTGTCCGGGATTAAAAAAAAAAAAAACCCACAGGCAACATCAAAAGACATACAGGCTGCTCTGGAAAAAGATGGTGTGGTTGATTTAATACGGTGATACTTGAACAAAAATGAGCTCTTTGGTCGAGGTGCCAGAAAGAAGCTTTTACTGCACCAATGCCACAAAAAAAGCCCGATTACAATATGCCTGACAACACCTTGACATGCCTAACCGGGCCTTTGTGTCATTGATGCAGTAAAGGCATCTTTCTGGCACCTTGACCATGCAGCTCATTTTTTTTTAAGTGTCATCATATTGTGCTCCTTCAAAACAACCACACTGTCTTTTTCCAGAGCAGCCTGTATTTTTCTTGTGGTTACCTATGGGTTTCCCTTTTTTTATCCCGAACAATTATTCTGGCAGTTGTGGCTGCAATCTTTCTTGGTCTACCTGTACTTTGCTTGGTATCAAGAGGTCCCTGAATTTTCTACTTCTTATTGGAAGTGATGACTGGCATATTCAAGGCTTTGGACATCTTTTTATGTCCTTTTCCATCTTTATAAAGTTCCATTACCTTGTTACACAGGACATTTGACAGTTCTTTTCTGATCCCCAAGGCTCAGTATCTAGCCTAGCCAGTGCTTCCACGTATGAGCTAACAAACGGATTGACTATTTATACACGGACACTAATTGTAATTTGAAAAGCCACAGATGTGGGACATTAACCTCTAATTGTCATTTTAACCACTTGCCTACCAGGCACTTATACCCCCTTATTTACCAGGCCAATTTTCAGCTTTCAGCGCTGCCGCACTTTGACAATTGCGCGGTCATGCAACATTGTACCCATATGAAATTTTGATCATTTTTTTTCTCACAAATAGAGCCTTCTTTTGGTGGTATTTAATCGCCACTGGGCGCTTTACTGTTTGCGCTATAAATAAAAAAATTGCCAAAAATTTGAGAAAAAAAAAGTTTCTTTGTTTCTATTATAAAATTTTTCAAACAGGTAATTTTTCTCCTTCACTGATGTGCGTTGATGAGGCAGCACTGATGGGCACTGATAGGCGGCACTGATAGGCAGCACTAAAGGGCACTGATGGGCAGTACTAATGAGGTGGCACGGATAGGCGGCACTAATATGCAGCACTGATAGGCGGCACTGATAGGTGACACTGATGATGGGTACTGATAGATGGCACTGACTGGCATCACCGCTGGGCACTGACTGGCGGCACTGACTGGCACAACCGCTGGGCACAGGTGGGTGGCACTGCTGGGGCACAGGTGGGTGGCACTGGGGCACAGGTGGGTGACATTGCAGAGTGGCACAGGTGGGTGCACTGCTGGGCACAGGTGGGCGCACTGCTGGGCACAGGTGGGTGGAGCTAGTGGGCGCACTGCTGGGCACAGGTGGGTGGAACTTGCGGGTGGCACTGCTGGGCACCGATCATCAGGTCACTGATCATCAGTGCCCTGATGATCGGTGCCGATCCCTGCTGTGACAACTGCCGGTTCTCGGCAGTACTTTCCTCAGGATCTGACAGCGTGAGGAAAGTGCAGCCGAGAACTGGCACTTGCATTTCCCTCTGATCAGCGTGTCATTGGCTGATCAGGTGGTAAAAGGCCGCTGTGATTGGCCTTTTACCACATCACGTGATCAGCTGTGTCCGTAGGACACAGCGATCACGGAGATCGCCGGGGGCGCGCAGGAGAGCGCGTTCTGGGGGGACGTCATATGACGTCCACTCAGAACTGGCCGGCCGCAGTGCAGCCGTCATTCGGCTATCTGCGGTCGGCAACAAGTTAACCCGTGTGTGTGTGTGTGTGTGTGTGTACCAAGGCCAAACATTCCAGGGTATGTAAACTTTTGATCATGGCCATTTTGGGTGATTTATGTTATCATTAGGGTTTAAAAAGGAGCCAAACAACTATTTGATAATAAATAGCTTCATATGATCATCATCCTTCATGCCAAAAAATGCTCTTTTATTGATCAGTCATATATTTTCAATATCAATGCCAAAATTTCACAATTTCTGCCAGGGTATGCAAACTTTTGAGCACAACTGTATATACACCAGTGGCGTCCGGTGTCACCCCATATAGGTTGCATACCGACGATCCTACGGGGATGGTCGGCATGCAACCTATACTGGGTGACACCGGACCCGCTTCAAGAAAAGGTAAGTTGTAAAGAAAGCAGACGATCCCTGCAGGATGGATCAGAGTCTGATCAATTATGCTCAATCCGCAGATCCGATCCATTCTGCGGGGATCGTCGGAGGGGGTGTTAACGCATCGGGTGACACCAACCCTAGGGATGCCTCTGATATACACACAATTTCAGATATTCTACAAAAGCCCACAAGCTGTGCAAAAAGTGCTTCCAGAAGTCCGAGGAAAAGGCACCAACTAATCCAACAGGGCTGAAGAGAAACACCCGAGATCCGATGATGATGAAAGTGAGTTAGGATGCTTACCAGAACTATTTGGCTTGCAAATGAATGACACCACCAAATCAACAGCGCTTTAGAGGTTAACCCCAAACCGATCTGAGATCGATGATGGGACAGCACTCTAACCCTTGGCTCCGTCAGCTTCACATAGTGTCACAGATATGAAGCATTGGATTAGTGGGTGCCTTTTTCCTCTGACTTCTGGAAGCACGTTTTTGTAGACCCTTTTTTTTTTTTTATATTTGAGCACGATTCATTTTATGATGGACTTTTACCTTTTTTATGATCACTCTTTTTTTCTATTTTATGTACTAATCATTGGTTTGGAATAGCGCTGCACTTTGCAAATTATATTTTGGGAGGTTTTTTGTATCTGCTAACCTACGCCAGCAGCTGTGTTTTCACTTTATTATAATTTTTTCTAATCTTGCCGCAGAAATACATGTGTTTTATATTGATATATTACTCTTTACCATTTTAAATTTAGGATCCTCTGGGGAGGTGTTCTCTACACTTATTGGGGCTTGCTTGGACCCTCTCACTCTTTCTCCTTAAAGCAGAATTTTACTCGTAACAACTTGATAAAAAATATTCATTAGCAAGGAACATAACAGTCCACATTAACAATTATGCTACCAAAATGGGTGTGTGCTGTAAACTGCCTCTAGAGTTGTTCCTGTTTCTTCTTGCTGGAGGCTGCCATTTTTGCTGAGGCCCTGAGCCCCTGAGCAGCAGTAAATCTTTAGGCTGTCAGCAAATTGTCCTTTACATTTTCTATGCTGAAAAATGTGTATTACTGGATTTTAACCACCTCCCGTCCGGCCGTTGTATATAAACGGCCAGAAGGTGGTAGTTCAGGGTTGGGTGGCTGTTTATAAACTATATCCCTGCACCCTCCTTGTGTTCGCTCCCTGGGAGCGTGCAGCACCGCGATCCGGTGCCCGCTGTGTCCTCCGGACACGGTGGAACACCGATCGTTGGACAGAACCTCCTGTATGAGGTCCCAATCGTGTGATCACTGCTTGGCCAATCAGTGATCACATGCAGAGTAGTAAGCAAGATGTCACTTGTGACATCATTGCTTACTACGTGTGAAATCTGTGAATGACCAATCACAGCTCACTCAGTAGTTCTCAATGGCTGCAAGAATGCAGCTAGAGAGGAGAAATTATTGCTTTTACAGCCTTTGAGTGTAAAAAAAAAAAAAAAAAAAAAAAAAAGTTAAAAATTATAATTTTTGGTTATAAACTAATTTGGGTGTTTTTTTTTTTTTTCTAAAAATATAACAGAATAAATTTTTGCCAAGATGTATGATGAAATACTATTTATTTGCAAACTGTTACAAGAAAACCCTTTTTTTTTTTTTTTTTTTTTTTTTTTTTTTTTTTTTTTTTTGACTTTTTAATTTTACATAGCAAAAAAAATAAAAATCCAAGTGGTGAATACATACCACCAAAATAAAGCTTTATCTGTCTAAAAAAAAATGCAAAAAAATTCATATGGGTACAGTGTTGCATGAACGTGCAATTGTCATTCAAAGTGTGATAGCACTGAAAGCTGAAAATTGGCCTGGACAGAAAGGGGGTAAGTGTCCGGACTGGAAGTGGTTAAACAGTATAGGCACTTATTTTTAATGTTTTACATAGCTGTACCTGCAAAAGGGGCAGCCTGAAGTGATCTAACAGGACTTAAAGGGTTCAGCAGGGTGTAAAATGTTAGAGTTGCAGCTGCCCCCTTTTGCCCCCTCATTTCCAGAATATATATCATTCTGGAAATGATATATACATACTGTTAAAATACATGAGCATGGTTCTTGTTCCTGTGTATTTTACTTGGTAATGATTGAATGTTCTGGTTGTAGCAGTATGTTCATTATGATAACGGAGCTGATAGATTTGGTTAACCATAATCTGAGTACAAAGTTTGGTGCTGGTTTTATGTACTGACACTGTTACAAACTTTTGCTTAGTGGTGATGATAGCTTTGAGACCCTTTTTGCTATTGTCCAATAGGTTTTCAGATTAATGCAAATATTTGTGTGTTTCCCAGAAAAAATCGCTGCAATGCCAAAGACTAAAGGGCACTGATAGAAAATGACCAGCTCATCAGGGTTTTGTATGTAGGTGGCCATATATGCTTTTTCTAATCTGTTTGCTAAAGACTTTCAGGCTAAACTTTGAAAAGTTCAGATAGTGCAAGATTCACTGCAATCTTTACATAAAGCATTAGTGGTATAAATCCAGTTCGTTGACTTTTGTAGCTTGCTGCTATGGCGCAAGGCCTAAGTAATCCACTAGCACCTTGATTTCATCCTGCACCCTCTTTCACAATATATTTACCCAGTGAATTTACCAAGTGTGTTTTGTGTTTGTGTTTTTTTTTTTGTTTTTTACTATGAAATACATGCATTGTTCTCCAGACATGCACCAGCAAAATGGTGGTGTCCTTCAAGTGTTGCTAAACCCAGGAGCCTGCATTCACTATGTCTGGCCTCTACACAGAACATGGAAATGCAATTATGTTAGTAAATATAAACTGCTAAATACCTTTTCTCATCAGCAGTTAGAGCATTCTTGTGGCTTCTATCAGTGTCTAGCAGAGCACTGGTTAAAGCTTGTAGGAGGAGTTTTCATTTTCCCCTGATTGTCCTTTGAGGCTGAAGGACCCCTAACCCTCTCTCTGGACAGCACTAATTGGCCCTGTGCTGATAACGTGCCCTCTTCCAAGAAAAAAAAAACAAAGAACTCTAGCAATATACACCAAACTGAGCATATGTAGCTTGCCCCCAAGGCTCTGTTTTGTCAGCAGATGGATTGGGGACTGTGGAAAAGGGGGAGGATCAGAGAAGACAGGATAAAAAAATCATTTTTACAAAAAGCAGAGGATTAACCCCTTAGGTTCCACAGTGAGTATAACGAGCATGCTTTACTGCATATATGGACTGATTTTACTGTTGTGGGTTTAGTAACACTTTATTTAAATATGTTTAGCTGTACATATGCTACCTACACTATATTGCCAAAAGTATTGGGACGCCTCCCTTTTATAAGCACATGAACTTTAATGGCATCCCAGTCTTATTCCATAGGGTTCAATATTGAGTTGGCCCACCCTTTACAGCTATACCAGCTTCAACTCTTCTGGGAAGGCTATGCACAAGGTTTAGTAGTGTGTCTATGGGAATGTTTCACCATTCTTCCAGAAGCGCATTTGTGAGGTCAGGGACTGATGTCGGACGAGAAGGCCTGGCTCACAGTCTCCGCTCTAATTCATCCCAAAGGGGTTCTTTTGGATTGAGGTCAGGACTCTGTGCAGGCCAGTCAAGTTTCTCCACCCCAAACTGGCTTATCCATGTTTTTATGGCAAACTGTTCCCACAAGGTTGGAAGCATCAAATTGTCCAAAATGTCTTGGTATGCTGACGCCTTAAGAATTCCCTTCACTGGAACTAAGGGGCCAAGCCAACCCCTGAAAAACAGCCCTACACCATAAGGCGCCCCCCCCCCCCCCCCAAACTTTACACTGGGCACAATGCAGTCAGGTAAGTACCATTTCCTGGTAACTGTTAAACCGAGACACATCCCTTGGTTTGCGAGATAGAGAACACATCTCCACTGCTCTAGAGTCCAGTGGCAGCGTGCTTTTCACCACTTCATCTGACGCTTTGCATTGCACTTGGTGATGTAAAGCTTGGATGCAGCTGCTCGGCCATGGAGACCCATTCCCATGAAGCTCTCTACACACTGTTGTGCTAATCTGAAGGCCACATGAAGTTTGGAGGTCTTTAGCTATTGACTCTGCAGACAGTTGGTGACTTCTGCACACTGTGTGCTTCTGCATGCACTGTCCCCGCTCTGTTGTGGCCTACCACTTCATGAATGAGTGGCTGTTGTTCCCAGTTGCTTCCACTTTGTCATAATACCACTAACAGTTGACCGTGGAATATTTAGTAGTAAGGAAATGTCACAGATGGACTTATTGCACAGGTGGCAACCTATCACTGTACCACGCTTGAATTCACTGAGCTCCTGAGAGTGACCCATTCTTTCACAAATGTTTGTAAGCAGTCTGCATGCCTAGGTGCTTGATTTTAAACACCTGTGGCCATGGAGGTGATTGGAGCACCTGAATCCAATTATATAGAGGGGTGTCCCAATAATTATGGTAATATAGTATATTTTACAGAATTTTGTTTGGGTTATTTCTTACCT